CCCAACGAGCTCAACGTTCCGATTAAGGTGTTTAGTTTTCAATGAGTTTCAGTGTAGACTCATCACTTGTCCTGAAAAACTGGAGCACAACAACAAGAAAAAAACTTAAAAAATCGCTATCTGTATCCGATGTGAATGGAACTCACTACAAACATTTTGAGGGGTGGTTTCTTTTTGTGAGCGACAGGACGTGCTCCTTTGGATGTAACGGGCTGAAGTATTTAGGAGTTTGATTTCAATAAAATCTCAAGAGCAACAAATATATTGATATTACCATACGATGACTTTATATTGAGGTGGCTAGTAACAAAAGACGCGCCTATCACTCGCGCGGTCCTGGGTTTGAACTCCTTCGCCTCGACTCCCACCAGGTCAACCATGCCTTCTACCCTATAGGGAATTAAGTAAACTGATGCCAGATTTGTCTGAGAGGATTAGAACAGTGAAATGTTCATCGGCTGCCCCGCAAGTCATTGTATAGGCCACAGGTCAAGTCTAGGTCTATATGCCACTACGATCCTGAATGGAAGTCCAATGCGTGCCGCATCTCACAAAGGGGTTGATTAGGGCGAATATACAGAATTCAACCTGCAGATCACTAATTTTTGGGAGATGGCGTTTTTTCCCCGGGAACCTTTCCTTGGTTATCTCGGTCAAAAAATGTAAGGATGACGAAGCGTTGGCGCAACTTTCTATGTTTGGTCAAGCAGGCTCCAGTAGCAGGCGTCACGACGAACAGTACTGCCGATTCAGGTTAGGTAACAAGTGTAGGAGGGACATCGTTGTTCGCGATGAGATTCAAAAGTTGAAAAAAAACAGCCTAAAGACAGCCTCCGCGCTCGAGTAGTACATGGTCGTCCTTCCTTGTGCAAGTAGTACAGCCCCCAAGCTAGAGACTGTCCCACTCTCGCGACTCCACAGCGAGCGAGGAGCGAGCTACAGCCGCTGAAAGTTCTAGTTCTAACGCCCGCCCAGTTGGACCGCCCACTTGCTAGATGCCCTCTGACGGAGGGCCGCTCAGTTGTTCTTTGTTGGGGCGGCGGGCATTAATCGGAATTGCATGCCCTTTTTGCTGACCGCGCTCGTGCCCATGAATGATTCTGCTCTCCTTTATTACTTATTCATTAGGAGCACATACAGTCAACTCCAACCCATCTTGCAAGGTAAAACGCGTAAAAATCACGAGCGACCCAATTTTCGTGGTGCAAAAGCTCGACGCACCACACTACACTAAAAGATGCACGCTACCGTAACCCTAAATTCAGACGCCTAGTTTTTGAAAGTTTCTTTTCCTTTTCAAGAGTTTTTCTTCCATGTTGTTGTTTTTCGTATTCTTTGCAATGGATGACACCCCTGTTACTGGGAGATGTGATAAAGGAATTTGTGAGCCAGGGGTTGCACAGAGACCGCAGGAAGGTGTGACTGCCAGGGAGCGATTTTGTTTATGGTGTTCTTGAGGACTCTTCTTGCTTTTTTCTTCTTTGGGGAATTACTTATCAGCTACTGTTTCATAATTGAAAGCAACTATCCATGACACTTTTATCGCGGGAGCTGTCTTTAAAGGCAGTTGGCACGATGATTTGGTGCTCGGCCTAAAATGCTAGTAGGGCGCTATATAGTGGGGAAATGGCGAAAGAACGGAGTGAAACGGTCAAAATCCTGCGAAAAAGAGCCTCCGTTCTCACTGTGTTAGTAATCAATTTTGGACGAGTTTCCCGAAGGCATCTTACCAATAACCGCTACCGAAGGTACGGCTGCATATGTGTACTCATATATCCATGCAGCATCACGCCGCTTCATACCAATGCCTTCGCTTCATAATTTGCTTAGCAAATGAATCAATTAGAGCGTCTGGAACAGTCGTCCATTTGTGGGCGGGCGGGCAAGGGGGCGTTTGGGACGTAAAGTTGTGGCTTGATAGCGCCCTTGAAGGCATTATGCAGCGCCTGCTCAGGGTCGCGGAATTCCGTCCTGCCAGGCGTATTAATCCTACTCGTCTTGGGGATTTATCGTGCCAAGGCCTTTAACTTCGTGTGTTGATCGTGCGTGGGCTATTGATCGATGCAATCAAATCTTTCTTCAGAAACCTGCGCTTGATTCTTACATTGTAGGAGTATCAGATGCGTGAGCGGTCACAAATATTGCGACATTTCACGACTTCAGACTTTCGTCTTTCTTCAGAACTGCCCTTCAGCACCTGCTGGCCCTTGTTCTTGTGTGAGCGCGCAGGGTTCTCAAGGAGAGCGTTGCAATAACAGACAAAAAAAAAGGAACAATGCCTGGTTAATCTTAGAAACTGAAGAAGCTTCGCAAGAAGAGCACGGCTACCAAAATTCGCGCCTATCACATTCGATTCAGTGCGGCTTTTACTCCTTCGCAGGAGTGTGGACGTTCTACAGGGTGACCAGAAAGTTCTGCCAAGTTGTTCGAGTACTTCGGGCCTAGGCATAAAAAGATAACCTTTGCAAAGAAGGAGATTAGCCCATACTAAGCGTGCTGGGAGATCTTCGATCTAATCGGACGTAGCCAATGACCGTATACAACATCAGTTAACAATGTTTCAAAATTGCCTCCTTCAGCCTCAATACATTACGCTAGTCATTATTCCAAATCGCCGACAATGTCGGCGCCATACTTTTGCGGTGAGGTTTACGGTCCCAAACACGCAGCAACGCCACTTTCAGGTGGTAAACCGTTGCGCATCGAATTCCTGAGATTTTTCGACCCAGATGGAATAATCCATGGGGTTCGGACCATGCTAGTTGGGAGGCCAAACGTCCTTGCCCCAAAATCGGGAAACAGCTCTTCACAAGCGGCAGTTCGTGGGTTTGGCAGGATGTGCTGGCTCCCAGTCTTGCTGAAGCACATGTCCATCCGGGCCGAAGTGCTACGACACCCATGGCTTCAGTACATCGCGGAGAACGCGTTGTTGGGAGTAGACAGCATTAATCTTTACGATGCGCTCGATGAAGAAATGAGAGGTCTTCCGGTGGCACAGATCCCGCCTCAGACCGTGACTGAGGCTGGAAAGAGTCTGCGTCCGACGGATTTCACAGCCGTTGCCTTCTGTTGACCTTTTCTGAGGAGCAGACAACAATTCCGGTAGTTGTGATCGAAAATTTTTCTCGTCGGTGGCGAGCACATTCTTCAACAAGCACCGACCAGAAGATGGGTTTCAACAACTGCAACTTTTTGATTTTTTCGAGACAGTGCGAGGAGAAATCGAAAGTGATTGGATAGATGACTCGTACGGTAGTTCGAAATGGCTTGCGGAATACAAATAACCCATCGGAGAGAAAACAGACCATAATGGCCATTCAAAAACGCACAAACACGAAATTGCCAGAACTTTTTGGTCACCCTGTATAGTGCACTGTTTGTTTGTGTTGGAGTGTTCCGTGGTGTTTACTCGTTCTTCGCTCTCACATAGTGCTGTTTTCGCGCAGCCTGCTCGATAAGTAAATGAAATGTGATAGAAGTTGGGAAATAACTCACAGGTCCTCCACTTCCCTCGGAGCCAATTGCAGTTGCTGTGGAAGAATCTGCTGAAAGCATCTTGTTATGGAGGCTTCCTTTAAAGCCTAGATTCTACATATTACCTTTTTAATGCTATGGTTGGCAGTGGGGAGCAAGCACTCAGTTTTTTTTTGTTTCTGTCATACGTAGATCAAGCAAGTCAGAAGCGACCAGAAGAAGAACGTTTATTCATCCTATCTGCTTTTACTACAGGAGCGGCCAATAAAAGGACGCATTTCTGTCGGAGTGGTCATCAGAGTTAATTCCGCACAGGGAGCTAAGCTATATGGTGTAATGCTCCCAAGATGTCTATCCAAAGACTCTAGTAAACACCCTAGTCCAGCCTTAAGGGTCATGACAAAACGAAGCCAAGCGTCGTCGCCGACAAGCTCAAGACCCTTCAGTGATCATGTCAGCCTAAAGCACCCGCCCAATTTCTACTTTTGAGTCCCTAGTGTTCAAATTCCTAGACTGGGAAGAGATCACCCGTCCATCTTCCTGTTAAACGTGATCTCTACGGTCGTGATCTAGTTTTGATGACTCGATCCTGACAGTCAGCTTCATCGTCAAACGCCACAAGGCTCCAAGCACGACGGTTTGACGGATTCTGAGCTTACAGAGGCTAAGGTCAGTGTCAGTCTGCGTTGTCCAGTTTGTGCGAGAAAAATGCTCGTGGTTCCATCCATAAGCAAAGTGTTTTTATTGACTACTCCTGCATGGAGCGTTGCATCCTATGAAGACACATTGGCTATAAAGCGTAGTAGGGTAGTAGAACACGCTTCTTCGGAACCAATCAAGTACCGGGCAGTCATCTGCTTTTAGCTGGCAGAATTATAGCTATCTGTTGTCCTGAACATAAAGGGTCAACCCAGATTGAGGCAGGCGGTACAGCTAAGACGATTCTGCCATGAATTTTCAGATGTTTATACTTCATCCAGGTTCTGTGGCTGTCTATGAGGAGCATCAGGCCATGAGGTCCGACTCCAAACTCCCTGTTATGGCTACTCAAGGGGGATTAAGGAGCAGATGCTCATGAGGTCACCTTCGAAACAAAAAATACGAAACGACTTCCCGATTCTCACGCAAACCACTGTTATTTTGCCAGCCCCGGGAGCTTCTCAGTGGGGTTTGGCTAACGAAATAAGTACGGAAGGAGTTGACGAAAACATTGTGGGAAGTTGTCGCGTAGAGCCATTGGCGTATAACAGTACATGGTAAGGTTGTGTGGCGACAAATGGGCACGGTGAGCGCTGCAATGCAAGAATCCGACGGAAGCTTTGACTTAGACTTATTTCTCAGTTCCTCGAAACTCCCTACCTGATTTCCGTACGGGAGCTTTGTCATCCTTTGAATTATCCCAGTCGACTGACGACTTCGGTGTTATCTCATGTGGATGCTCAACGGAACTGCTGCTCTTCGTTGATGAAAACTTCTGAAGCCAACTATAGAAGGCATATTTTCCAATGACAAACTTAACACTCGCTTCCGCGGGTCCAGATCCTTGCCGTGTGTTAGGTCGTCTCAGGGCACTTGTCAACCGAGAAGCCTCTCCTCTCTTTCCTTTTTTCTTCCTCCCTCCTTCTTTTCCTTCCTTCCTTCTCTGATCCCTCCTCCTTTACCTTCTCCCTTCAACTACTGGACTGATGACTCGTGAGAATAACGCTGGACCCGCAGCGAGAGCACGTCTGGTTGACAACAGCCGTAACCGTGTTAGGTGAACCGGTCCGCAGTTGCAGTAGCAAGCCACGTGAAGCACAGGAATGAGGGCACTGGTGACCGAGTTTCGTTACCACACTCCTGCGCACTGCTGCACGGCCAGTCACGCGCCTAATCATAGCCAAGCGCGCTACTTGTCTGCGCTCTCTCACTCCAGGTTGTGTTGTGGCACCACGATCTCATCCACGACAGTATCTGATCTGTTGCCTAGATCTGCCTGGTTTGACTGGTGTGTTTGCTGCGGAATCTTGGTATCGACGTAAGTCCTGAGGATAGTGCGGTCGGAGTGTGGAGACGGCACTCGGGTACCACTAATACACAGTCCCATTTCCGCGCGCTCTCAAGTGATAAAGTTATCGCACTTGCACATCTGCCAGCCCATCTTCATTCCTGTCAGATGGCAAGAACTGTCCTTAGAGGTGAGTGCACGAATTACAATCAAGCGCATTTTGGGTATTGGTCGGGCAAACGTCAAGTTTCTTGGAGAAAACAACGAGTACTTTTCAGCCCTTTGTTATATGCTTGTCGTTTTTCAGGCGCGACTCACATTTGGGCTCTCTTTCTTTGCGACATCAACGGACTCAGAACCTCGTCTTTTAAGGCAGCTATGTGATACTGAAACCACGGAAATGCCGATGAAGAGGTGAGAATAATACGCCAAGACTATACTCATGTACCTGAAATCTATTTCATATGTGTAATAGTGAGCGGAAAACGCATACGGAACCTAGAACGTGACGCACCTCGAAGTACCCTTCTGAAGAATGTTCCTGATATCGCTAGCACAGTTACTCAACAATCTGAAGGGCGACCAACCCATGGGTTAATGCGAACTTTCAGTGAAGCTGGGGTATATATACGCGAAACATATCATAGGCTTATTCGTAAACAACAATTTGAGTATACTCTTACTGTTCGCTGCGGATGGTTGTCAGGCAGTATGAGAGCGTCACGCCGTCAAAACCGCTCTCTGCCTTCTTGTTGAAGCGCGCATGCGACAAAAAGTGGTAGAAAACGAGTAATACGAAAGATGATACAGTCATATCACTTGCTCGCTTTAACAGCTGGTGGAGAACGGGTCTGGCACCGCACCAACTCATCGCGCCTGGGACGCCCAACCGTCTACAGCGAACTATAGCGGTAACATCGGCACGGCTAGCTCAAGAATCGGAAAAGAAAGAGGCATCACTCTCAAGGATTAGAACGAGTCTTTATCTGGGGAGAAGGAGGCTAAGAGTAGGAGATCTGAGATTGGGAAGATGAGCAGGGACTAGACAGACGTTGAGCTACTCCACACTCCCAAATCAGATCGATATTTACACTTTTGTTTGCTAGCCTTTCTCTTCTCACCGAACATCCACTCCCCAGTATTTCCATTTCGCGCATTACGTAAAAAAGAATTACCTGCTTGACACATTCACTCTGCAGAGGTTGGTGTACATAAGACCGAACTCCCGGGCACCATCCTGATTGGATATTCTGTCACTCACAGGATTCCGACTGCATTGCACTTTGACTCTCATCGAGATCCCGTCTGGATCGCGTTCTGCCATCGTCAGTATCACGGCTGGATCGTACTCGTCGGGATCTCGGTAGAATCGCACACTGAGGCACTGTCAAGATCCCGGTTGGTTCGCTCTCTTGCCATCGTTAGGATTCCGGCCTCTCTCCAGCGCTTTATTCCGTAGTGCAACCCCTTCTTGTATTGAGGTTTGGTGGGCATGCTATTTGTTTACATTATGATATGCACAAATTGGTATCATTCGTGTTTGTTGGTTTGCCTCTACCATTTCTACCAATGTTGAGTGAGGTGCAGTTGTTAATCATTCTCTTCTATGCGGTTGAATGTTCTTCTTGTCATCATTCCCGTCACTTCCTTAAACGAAGTGAGTCAGATCATGAACTTGTCGCTCGACTTGCATCGCTACCTCAGGCTAAAGCTTTCTCTTTCAGCAAATTCAGGAACAACTGAGAAACAACATAGGTAAGTATTGTGTTTTTCATTGCTTAAAGTACAGTTAGTAACGGCAAGTGATGCTCCTTCCAGAGAAGTCATTATCACCTAAGTTACCGTGTGTAAGCGGCGCGTGGGTATGGCGCGGTATCAGCCCCTTCCCCAGCCTTCAGTGAATGCCACATTCACAACGATCGACGAAGGCTGGCTTAGCGCCAAAATCTACGTACCGCTAACACGCCAGACCTGTCATGATTGTTGTGACGGGGTTCTTCATCAGCCGGCCTGTCAACCTGGCGCCTGACGCTGGTATCGGCACCCATTCTTTGCAATTTTTGCAAGGCATGGTGTGTGCCTGGGCGGAGCTGGAATTCGTGGCAGTCAGTATTGCTGAGCTAGCATGTGATAGCGAAAGGTGCTTCAACCGATTTTGCAAATCTTCATCCCAACGCAGCAACGTCGAGTTATCGGGAGGAACAGCTTGTCATGGTCAGCAGTTTCAACGCTAAAGTAGGGCCCAGGAGAATGGGCAAAGAATTTCACATAGAACACACAGAATGAATGTTCGAGAAGCATGAAAGGCTGTACCTGAGTCTATCACGTACTCTGCATTCTTCGCTGGAGGACTCTGCCAGTGGAATTCCATGGGCAGATCGACCACATCATCTTCAGTCAGAGTTGCGCCCGACCAACTTCGCTATTGTTCCTTGGTTCTATATAAAACCGAATAACCGTCTCCTCCGCGCAAGGTTTTGATGCGAGGAAAGAGGCCGCAAATCGCAAGAAGCGAAGTCTCAAAACTGTCATCAATTGGGACCACTTCACTTGTCTCGCTAAGCTCTTGCAAGATTCCATCATCGATAACGATATTGAAGAAGGCTGAACATCGCCACGACTGCGCCATGAAGTCAGAGTGTTGAAAGTTCATCAAAAAGCGCCTATTTCTGGAAACTCTTGAACTGATTCGTCAACGTGAGGCGGCAGGCTACCGGGTAACTACCAGCTCCGAGGTCGCGAAACCATGACCAGAAGCGATGAAAGAAGACCTCAAGCAGAGAAGAGCAGCAATGCTGGTAAGAACAGCATAGTTTGTGTAGAGCATTCAAAACGCGCGCCGCGTTGACTTCGTCAACTGCGAGATCGAAATTGTCGACCTCTGACATCCGAACAGGACAATCACTGCATCTGGAAAGGACGTGGAGAGGGTCATCCAGAACTTCTACTCTGGTCTCTTTGACACCCTTGTCCATCCGCCGTCGTACAGCTTGAAGCATGATAGATAGGTCATTTGTTCGATTTTCTTTCTGAAGTCCGACATGCATCTCGTCGGTGAAGAATCGTACGGCACCCGGTCCCGACAGGATCAGACCCGAACATCTGAAGAATCTTCCGCCAGTTCTCGTCAAAACTCTGGCTCGACTCTTCACGCGCTACCTGTCGGAATGCAAGGTACCCACCTCGTGGAAAACCAGCAAGACTGTGTTGCTGTACAAGAAAGGAGACCTGCACGACAATGGCCTTCATGGGCCAAACTTCACACGAGCTACCTGAAATATTTAATTGGCACATACTACATGAAGCACATCTACGCGGTAACCAAGCTCATTGATCACGAGTGTACAAAATGCCGTTATGCCTCACCTTCATCGACTTAAAGAAAGCCTTCGACTCCGTTGAGACAGAAGCGTGAAAACTGGGGCAACCAGGGTGTCCTTACATAATACATCGAGATACTTTGTGAGCTTTAAGCAACTTCACAGCCATGATCACCTACTGGGAGTTAATCATCGACATGAAAAAAGAATGCTAACAAGGCGACACTCTCGCCCAAACTCGCTTTTCTTTTATTTCGAGAACCTCAAGCGTTGATTGGAATGGGTAGACATGGAATGAAAGTTTACGGCTGACAACCACACCATTTCCGTTTTGCTGATGACATCCTACTAATATAATCGGCTATGTCCGTGTGTGTGTGTGTGTGTGTGTGTGTCTGTCTGTCTGTCACGAAATTCATAGCACCTGAAGAAGAACTTGGAGAGGTCGGGTCATGGTGGGGATGGGTAGAGCATGGGACAAAACCTAAATAGCACCCATGACCCATGGTAAGCCCCGCCCACAGTGGGCGGGCGTGCGTCGTTAGCGATGTCACTGAAAAAAGTCATAACTCGGTTCCAGAGCAGTCCCGAGATGAGGAAACAGTGCAGTAAAGTTAACAAAGGCCTGACCGACCAAACAGAGGAGACACACTCGAAATGGGCGGGGCGTACTTGAGATGGGCGGCGCTTCCCGTGTCACTGAAAAATCACCATAACTTGGCTACAAAGCAGCTCGGAGACTGGAAAAAGTGGAATTAGGTTAGCACTGGGTTGGCACACCAAATGGAGGAGAGACACCCGAAATGGGCGGGGCGTACTTGAGATGGGCGGCGCTTCCCACAAAGGTCGGTAACTCGGTCCCCGAAAATGTTTAGGGATCGCAGAAAAGTCCATGACGAAGATTAACGTCTGGCAAGAGTCCACCATGTTTACGGCGTGCTGAGGCCCGCCTACAGTGGGCGGGGCGTGCATTTGAGCACGAGGAACAGTATAAAAAGTCGTAGTTTGGTCCTAAAGCACTGCAGATGGTGCCAAAAAGTGGATTATGGTCCCCAAGTGATCAAATGTAAGGATGTGCGAGGCACTCCCGTTGTGGGCGGCCTGCACCGAGGTGGGAGGGGGGCCAAATTTCAAAAATATAAACGGTTCCAGAGCACTCCAGACACCGGGAAAAAGTGGTTTAAGGTCATCGAGGGGTCACCGGTTCACAAGTGTAAGGCATACCTGTTGTGTGTGGAGCGTGCGTCAAGGTGAGCGGGGCCAGCCTTAAAAATTCCTCAAGCGGTTCCAGAGCACTCCAGGCACTCCAGACCTCTATGTGATACGGCCCGGCTTTGCGGGGCGTGGCTCCATCGCGCCTACCTGCATTCGTATGATCAAATGCTCGACTAATACCCGGCTTTTCTCTCTGTCCACTTGATCAACGCTCCTTACCACCACTCCATACACCGTAATAGTGTTGAAAGTAGCAGGTATGATGCTATTGGTCAAAGAATGTTGACCACCTGTTCAGGTAAAAGAAAAGCCTGATACTAGGCGGCTAATGAAATGTGTGGAAGAAGGTAAGCGCGGCGGAGCCGCGCCCGCTCGACGAAGCCGTGCTGTATCTCAGAAGGAGGCGCGCCGGTGTCAGCCGGCGAAGCCGGCTGGTCATTTGATAACATCAAACATCGAGCAAGCACAGCGAATGCTGGCCGATTTCGGCTTCGCGCGTGAAATCGGTTTGCATCTGAACCTAACGAAGACGATGTTTATGAGAAACGAACTGGTTTCTGATTCCCATTCTCGCTCAACGGAACGAACATATCTGAATTTTCGAGCTATGCGTGCCCGGGTCAGTGATGAAAGACTTGCAGAGCTAACCAGGGAAGGCCGCCAACTTACCATGGAACTTTAAAAGGAGACCTAGGTGGATTGATAGAGTCTATCTATTAACAAATATAGATAGCAAAACTGCAACGTGCATTCCACAAGGAAGTTATGAGCAGGTAAAGTTTGTAATGAGGTTCAGTGTTAGCAGCTGCGAAGGATAATTGAGGAATTGCTTACAGGAGATCGAGTCGCGGTGGTTCAGTGGTAAGGTTCTCGCTTCAAAGTCACATCATGCTGGTTCGATTCCCGGAGGCGCTCAAGTTTTTGCATTCCTATTTCTACCTGATTTTTTGACTTGCGTACGAGTTAACACCTGGCCATCGTTTGATTCACGTTCTCGGCCTCTATTTACTGCGGAACCGGGAGCATGGAAGTTTCTGCTCCATTGTTTTCACCTAATTTTTCGACACCCACCAAGTACTTGGCGACTTTGCAGCAAGTGTGGTAGATCGAATCGGTCAGTGCCGATTTGATCTACCTCGATGGCGCGCGTGGCATCAGTCGCCATGCCTTTCTCTCCAGCAAAAGTGGTTTCCATGCTGGTAGCAAAGGTAGTTTTCTGAAATACTCGTGGTACAAAGCCGGGGCACTATTGAACCACTCCTACCCCAAAAAATCAAGAAAACGCGCGCCCATCACTTTTTTCACCAAAGTCGATGAAAACTTGCATATGGGGGTTAATCAACATACTGATCACGAATCCAATATTTATTTTTGGCGCCAATGTGATATCCGTGATCAGTATGTTGATTAACCCCCATATGCAAGTTTTCATCGACTTTGGTGAAAAAAGTGGTGGGCGCCAAATTGGCGCATAATGGCGCCAAATGACGCCAGCGCTCGAAACGGATGTGATATTCGTGATCAGCGCATCGAATTACATCTTTAGGCAACGTTTCAGCGAAAAAATTTTTTTGAGTTTTTTGGGGTAGGAGTGGTTCAATAGTGCCCCGCTTTGTACCACGAGTATTTCAGAAAACTACCTTTGCTACCAGTATGGAAACCACTTTTGCTAAAGAGAAAGGCATGGCGACATCGAGCTAGATCAAATCGGCACTGACCGATTCGATCTACCACACTTGCTGCAAAGTCGCCAAGTACTTGGTGGGTGTCGAAAAATTAGGTGAAAACAATGGAGCAGAAACTTCCATGCTCCCGGTTCCGCAGTAAATAGAGGCCGAGAACGTGAATCAAACGATGGCCAGGTGTTAACTCGTACGCAAGTCAAAAAATCAGGTAGAAATAGGAATGCAAAAACTTGAGCGCCTCCGGGAATCGAACCAGCATGATGTGACTTTGAAGCGAGAACCTTACCACTGAACCACCGCGACTCGATCTGCTGTAAGCAATTCCTCGATTATCCTTCGCAGCTGCTACCACCGAGCCTCCACCCGACTACACCATTACAAACTTTACCTGCTCATAACTTCCTTGTGGAATGCACGTTGCAGTTTTGCTATCTATATTTGTTAATAGCCTTATAGACTCTATCGATCCACCAGGTCTCCATTCAAAGTTCCATGGTAAGTTGGCGGCCTTCCCTGGTAAGCAGAAGGAAGGGCTTGACTTGGGGATCTTTCAAACATGGAGGACTAGCCAAGAAGATGAAGAGACCCGGCTTTGTGGCTTGAGCGAATGATACGAAGTTCATCGCATCCCTCAGCCCAGAGAACCTATTAGGCAACCTAACACGTTGCATGCTCGCATGGAAGCTTCTGGAGAGCCCATCGATTAGCGGGTTTTGATCATCGATTCTGGTTCTCTTGACCAGGATCCAATGAGCTATTTCGAAACTATGGAGCAAAGAACTGTTACACTTCTCATCGCGGGAATTATTAGGTTGTCCGGAAAGTTCTCAGCGTTTTGGGTGTTTCACTTTAAACGATCGTAACTTTTTAATACTCATCGGATTTAATCGAAATAGGCACCATTCGAATCAGCACACTTTTGCCAATGTGACAGCAGTCGAGAAATCCCATCAAAGTAAAAACTGGGTGGTCGAAAATTCACGAAATCCACGAAGGCTTTTTTGCCTGGTCCTGATTGATGAAGTATTTTCCAGCAAGGGAGTTCTGAAAATGTTAGAAAAGGTGATAGTCGATTGGCGAAAGGTCTGAAGAATATGGCGGTTGAGGTAGAACTTCAAATTCGTTCAATTTATGGATAGTGATTTGTGAAACGTGTGGGCGGGCGTTGTCATGCAAAAGAATCGGACCCTTTCTTTTGATAAGTGTTGGCTGCAGCTGACAAAATTTTCGGTACATTTCGTCGATTCCTTCACAGTAGGGTTCTGCTGTGATGGTTTGGCCTGGTGATAAAAAGTTATAGTGGATCACACCAGCCGATGACCACCAAGCCGTGACCAGAATCTTTTTTTCGTGAGGGTTCGGCTTTGAAAATTACCTCGGTGGTTCGTCGAAATCCAACCACTGTCCGGAACGTCTCCTGTTATCATACATGACCCATTTTTCATCACAGGTGACAATTCGGCCCAAAAACAGGTCGTTTCTGCTGCGCAAAAGCAATGCAGAAGGAACCTCGAGACGTGCCGATTCCTGCCGGTCACTCCGATTGTGGGGCACCCAATTGTCGAGTTTTTCACCTTCCCAATGCGTTCCAGACCATCTGCAACAGTGGATTTGCCAAGGCCTAGCTCTTCTGCTATCTCTCGAACTGTTTGGGATGGGTCAGCCTCCAAAAAAATCCTCGTCAGATATTGCTTTAGGTCGACCGCTATGAGGTTCATCTTCAAGGCTGAAATCTCCAGAACGAAATTTGTTGAGCCATTGCCGCACAGTGCTTTCTCTAGCACTATTGGGCCCCCACACCTGGTTAATTTGTTGAGCTGTTTCGATTGCGGATTGCCCCAATTTATAGTCGAAGAAAAAAATCGTCCGAAGTGCTCTTTTCACATGCTTGAAAAAATCTTGAAACAGGGCACAGCATTCGATGGGGATTTTGGTCGAGCTTTTACGACCCCCCCCCCATGCTCGTACGATGGCTGACATGGCTGACTGTGGTTGTGGTTTATACTCGGCGAAAAAGTTGTCGAGGGGGTATGTAGTAGGCATGCGACGTACATCGTACGGGCGTACATAGTACCTATAACACAGAAAATTCATAAAACTCATGAAGTGAACCACGTAACTCCTAGCCAGAAATACGACCCCCCCTCCCAACAACGACCAAATACGACCCCCCTCCAAAACGTCCGCAAAGCGAGAAAAATCAACTATAAAAAATAAATTTTTCCCAGCCCAAATACGACCCCCTTTTGGCGGCCAAATACGACCCCCCCCCCATAGGGAATCCCCAACCAATGCTGTGCCCTGCTCTTGAAAAAAGGGGTTTATCAAGCAATGGTGAAACGGCAATTATACCATCAGATAGCGCAAGAAATTCTCTACAGGATGTGCTACTGAGAAGCAAGGCAGAATGAGTTTTTAATCAGCAGTGAATGTACAAAAAATAGGTGCACAAAACGCTGAGAACTTTCCGGACAACCTAATAGGAAGGCAGCGTCTCAAAGAGGATAGCGGAAGTCTGATATTCGATTGATTGATTGAGGCTACCAATGTCCCAATGAACAGTTGGTGTTTGGGAGCTTTTACTCCTGACCTTCATTACTTGTTTCTATGCATGGTGCTCGTCGTTGGAGAAATTGGCTACTTGGTTTTGTTTTTTTAAATAGACACACATGGTTTTCAAATAGACAAACTGTACTCTGCACATGCTGCCGCAAAGCCAGCCAAACATCGGAAGCATAGCGCTATCTATTTGCGTCCTCATGCTTCTCGTTATTGCTACCGCTGGGTGTACGGAAGCTGCGAGATCTCGGTATCGACGCAAATGCTGCACCTTGACGATAGCGGACGGAGTCGAGGACGGCAATCTTTCGTCCTACCCTAAAACCCCGTGGTCGTGCACTTTTGAGAGGAGAGTAGCACAGTGCACCAGGACCAACTCTTCTCTAGAAGAGTCGGTGTGAGTTCGCAGTTTATCTTCGCTGTCTGTTTTGGTCTTAAAGGCAGTTGGCACGATAATTTGGTACTCAGCCTAAAATGCTAGCAGGGCGCTATTAGTGGGGAAAATGGCGAAAAAACGAAGTGAAACGGTCCAAAACTGCGAAGAAAGCCTTCGTTCTTGAAAAGCGATTTCGGACGAGTTTCCCGTAGGCGTATTGCAAATAACCGCTCCGGTAGGTGCGGCTGCATCTATGTACATGGTCGGAAACTTGTAGCTTGATAGGACCCTAGTAAGGGTACCTCCGTGGGAAAAATCGCTGCGCAGCCTGCACAGGGTAGCGGAAATCCGCCCTGGCAGGCATATAAATCCTGCTCGTCTTTGGGGATTTATAGTGCCAACTGCCTTTAATGACAGCAACACTAAGGGAAATGGCGAACAATCCGGGTAAGAACGTTTCTTTTTGCTGGACTAAGATATTGCAACGAAAGGCAGTTGTCTGAGCAGAGTGGTGTTGAATTATAGGCAGAACTAGTTTCGACTAGTGCAACAGTACTGATGGTCTCCTTCCCGGGTATTGTAGAACCAAGTACGAGTATACGAGTAGTGCCTTCTACGTTGAGCAAATACTTGCTAGTAGAGCCATTCGTACATATCTTTTAACTTTTCTGCTTGCTCTTAGGGTGAAATTTTGTTGACATCCTGTGATGAGAAGAAATGTGGGCGATTTTTAGGTTCTCTGCCACTCGAAACTTCTCTAGCTTTTTCACCGAAGGCCAAGAAAAGCGACTTAGAATACCAGTTTCGGTCGCAACAGAGTAATGCCCATGAAAACGAACGGAGAGAGGTTGATGGACCAGAATTATCGAGGAAAAACTTGCAGAGGGAACTCTCGGAAAATTCTGCCAATCCTGCTGGGTCTCACAGCGTCGTTCGTGATACCTCTGAGGGTGACCAATCAACTGCAGAAGTAAATCTCATCTACAGTACTACTCACGAGGAGGACATCAGTGAACCTCTTATTGATTATGAAGAAAAGCGAAACCCACTCCATCAGAGGTGAATCTCGTTCGTTCACTTTCTCTTTTTTTACACTTTTAAAAAACCTTTGAATGAAAAATACCGGTTTTTTAAACATCTTCAGAAGTGGTGTTACCAGTAACTCGAGACTTGAAGTGCTGCGCAAATCTAAAGAGAAAACCGAGGAAAGCATGGCTCTTTTGTGAGTGTCATTAAGAGAATTTTTTTATATGAAGGCAGTAAGCCTATCCCTAGATACTGCCACTAGAGTATAGCTAGCACCTGCTAAGAAAAACACAACGGAGGGGGTAACTGTTCTCTGGGCAAGTGGGTTTTCTGTTCCAAGAGCTCATCATTGGCAGAATTCCAATGCGGGACATAACTTTTGGCCCCTAGCGGGATGTGAGCCCACACCTGAAGCTCTTCCCGAGCGAGTGCGCTATACATATAAAGCTAAAAGGGAAAGAGTGGCCCTGGTGCTTTAACGAGTAGCTCTCTCGCGTGGGAAGTGCTGCATGGGTCAAGACATCTGCTCGCAAGTCAGCACTCTTCTGATAACTCCTTTTGGTTCCAGAAATTACTAAAGAGTTCGAATAGCCTCTGCTCCTTGAAATCTTAAAGGCCTAAGGCACGATAGTTTGGTACTTGGTCTAAAATGGTAGCAAGGGCGCTATATAGCGGGAGAAAAACACGAAAAAGGGAAGTGAACGGTTAGAAGCGTGCAAAAGGGACGAATCAGAAAGCATTTTTGGACGAGTTCCCTGCTGGCATCATGCCAACAACACCTATGGTAGATATGCTGCATGTATGCACTAATATATCCATGTAGCACTGCAGCCGCTTGATATCAATCTCTTCGCTTCATACTGCACATCGAAAATGAAGGAATACGAGCATTTGTGGGCGGGTGGGCACCGTGGGCGCCCGGGTCGGTATGTTGCAGCTTGATAGGGCGCTGTATGGGCACCCCTTGGAAGAGGAGTCACGCTTGAAAGCGCCGAATTCTGGTATCGTGCTACAATTTTATTTACCAGTCGGATCTGAGGGCCAGTCGGATCGCCCGCTTTCGCTACAGAAAAAATTTTTTTGCAATTCCAGAAACATTTACGTTTACATTTTGGGTCCCCTATTTAAGTTTGTTGTAGAAGGAATAGCAGCCGTAAAGCAAACAAATTGTACGGGCTTGCGTGCTTCTTCATTCTGAATATTCCCCAGTTTCACCCAGTACCAGGATCGCGAAAGCAATAATTTATTAGAACAACGAATAACAGGTGTTAGGAAGAACGAATTCTTTAGGTGATCGAAGAAGTAGAACGGCAGCGGAGAATAAGAAGGGCAGGCAGGCGACTGTAGATGTAGACTGTAGAACCTCCTCGAGTATGCCCGAGGCTATTTATATGACTTCTCCGGCGAGCCTACCGGTGATCATTACTGACCACAGGCCGCGCGTCGCTTTCCGATCTCTTCCCGCATCTTGGCCCGCCATCGTTGACCAACCATTGCATCACAAATAAATAAATGCAAAAAATTGGTAGTAAGTTATGAATTTTCGATTATGACCTCATATTCACTGCTTTCTCACTTGCCTTGCGACTATATTATGAACTTTTGCAGCAGGCGCCGCCGACTCGGCGCACATCTCATCCGCTGGGGTGTCTCTTCACTTATGTTACCCGTCCCTCGCCCCCCCCCCCCATAGAATGCAGCCCACTCGAATTTTCTGTAACAAAATTCGAGTCGATCACAGAGCGGGTTCATCCAAACACTGCTCGCAAAAATCGATCGAATCAACCTCGACCCACTTCTTACTCCACGTTTTCCCGCTGCTCGGGTAGTTCCGGGTTCGAACTTCGAAATTTTTACTTGGTCCCCGCCTACCCAGACAAACGCCCGCCGACTGCAATCTGCCGGGCTCTTTCCAACGCCCAGTTCGGGTGTGCCTCCTTCTGTTTATCTACCTGCCCACTTTTTACTCGAGTCCGTTTTCCCGCTGCCCGAGTAGTTCCGGGTCTGAATTTTGAAGATTTGCGTTAGGCCCCGCCCGCCCGAACAAACGCCCCGCTCACTTCGGGTATGCCCCCACGCCCATTGTGGGTGTAGTCTAACGTGGTGCATAGAGAATGATTTTGTCCCGGGTCCCTGTGATCTTCCGGAGGTTTTACGAATTTTTGTCGTTGGCACTACTCACTTCGGTGCACGCCCCGTCTATAGTGTGCGAGGCTGTTTGTGTGTATTTCGGCATATTTTCAACATGCCCTCACCCCCCATCCCAAAGTTGACGGCGTTTAAGTGTTTTGTTGACGTTTTCAAGGGACACCGCTCAGCTGAATATAGGCCCCGCCCATTGTGGGCGGAGCCTATTCTCCTATTGGTCCGACAAACGGACAGACAACTTCTGCTTTATATATAGAGTATGATTTTATTGTTTTTATTTTTATTTTATTTTTATTATTTTTTATTATTATTTTTTATTTTTATTTATCGTGTCTTTAATAATTGGTACTTTGATAATTGGTGGGAAACGCTGAACGGGCTGCGCTGCAATCCCAGCCCCTTTACATGCTCACTCATTCCCAGTTAGTAGTGACTGTGGATCTGGAAGCAAAGCCTTCAGGCTCTTGACGTTGGAGATAGGGAGAATTTCGCTACATACGCCCCTCCCCCCTCCCCACCACAATGTTCGTCCTTGGATCCATCTGCCATAATTTTTCAATTTGGAATGCTTTGACCGTCATCCCGCCTAACTGTTTTTTTTAGCCCTATACTTCTGATCAGTGGAGGTGTTGCTTTCATTATCATTTGTGTGATCATAGCTGTGATAGTGTTTATAATTATCAGGAAAAGGAGTGAGTTCTAAGATCGCTTTTGATCTGTCGGGACCATATAAAGCTTTTTTGTAACGGTTTGCGCTTTTCCAGAAAAAGCAAGATTGAAAGCAAAAGAAGACAAAATTGTGGCGGTAAGTTCAAATCCAATTTTCCAGCTTGGTTTGGAGCTCAACTATGGCTACTGCTCAAAGATAAACGGTCTCACCTCCGGGGACTGCGCTTCCATGTGCGAGGTGAACGGGTCCGCATCTGCAGTAGCGGGCCACTTTCTTCGCTGAAAGACACAGGTACCGGGTTAGGGGGTTGTAATGCCCAGGTGTCGTATTTTTTTCAAGTTAATTAATAGATTTGTTTCATTATGTATGTTGAAAAGTTAGCGATCGAGCGATGCGAGTTAGCGATTAGCGATCGAGCGATGCGAGTTAGCGAGTTAGCGATCCGTATCCCAACCCCGCCCATGCCATCCTCAATGTGCAGAATTTGCGTCGGTACCAAAATCCCGCTGCGAAACACATATAAGCGGCAAGAATAACCAGAAGTGGCTATGGTTAGGCGTGTGACTGGCGGTACAGTAGCGCGAGCGAAGCGTGGAGACATCACCCGGGTATCATATCCTTCAGACTGTCCCAGGGCACTTTTGACCAGAGAAGGTGGCACGCTACGGCAACTATGGTCCCATTCATCTCACATATGGTAAGGACAAGGGTCACGGATGAGGGTATCCTGCTGTTCTTTTATTTATCTTCAAGAGAGATGCACAAGCGTCCCGGTCCCCGTTGTGTAATGTAATTCGTTCGCCTTCTAAAGGTTCGTAGTCCAGTTTTCTGTCATTCACCAAGCAATATTACTTGGGATACGTCTCGTCTTGTTGTCCACTGCCCATTCCTCATCTGCAGCCCTTCTGTCTATCGAAATGGAAGAAGTGATGTAGCAGTGAGTAAGGCACAATAATTGTGAGTCTCCCATTGATTCACCCATCCCATTGTCATGGAATATGTTTCTAACGGGTCTGAAAGGCATTGGGCCGACTGCGGGGGATGGGCGGTTACTCCCAACGTCAGTGATGGAAGGGCTGACTGGGCTCTGGCCAAATGCTCCACGCATCCCTTCCGCCAAGCATGTTGGTACACCACTCATCTTTAGCCTCGTGCATGCCAGCATGGTGCTACATAGAGGGAAAACGGCGAAAAAACGAAGTGAAACGGTCAAAAACCTGCGAAGAAAAGCCTTCGTTCTTAATGACTCAAAAAGCAATTTCGGACGAGTTCCCGTAGGCATCTTGCCAAACCGCTACGGTAGGTACGGCTGCACGTATGTACTCATATATCCATGCAGCACCGCGGCCGCTTCATATCAATCCCTTCGCTTCATATTTTACTTACTTAGCAAATGAAGCAATACGAGCATCAGGTACGGTCGTCCATTTGTGGGCGGGGTGGGGGGGGGACAAACGCGTTCGTCCGGATCTGTATGCTGCAGCTTGATAGGGCCCTTTAAGGGTACCCTCCTTTAAAAGGCGCCGCGCAGCGCCTGCTCAGCGAGGCGGAATTCCGTCCTACCAGTCATATTAATCCTACCCATTTTAGGAACTTACCGTGCCAGCTGCCTTCAAGAGAAATCAGCCATAGAGTTAAATTTTCAGGTGAAGCAGCCGCGTAAAATGGAAAGCGAAGATATAAACCGAGTAAAGTTCCAAACTGCTGGGCCGCTGGTAATCGATAGAAATCTGAAAGGTCCAGTGGTATGTGGAAGTTTTATTCTTATGACTCACCATAAAAAATTCCATGAGAAAACGCTGTATGAAATCAGCGCGATAATCTCTTTTGCTATTTCTACTCGATTCTACCATCATTTTGTTTTGTCTTCAGTTTCTAGCCAAGTAATTTCAGAAGCATGCTCTCGACGATGAACATTCCGTAGCCCTAAAAGGAGTAGAATTTGATGTTGCTCAAAATGAAATCATTGACATCGGGTCGAACATCGAACTTATAGGGGTTAGTCAGTTGAATTCAATCTCACTGTTGACCATCACAGAGGGTTTTCACCACAGTTAGGCTTAGAAAGGCATTTTCCACGTATGCCAGTTTCTTTCGATTGTTCCTGCTGAATCACACGTCACAGCATTACCTTGGTAAGACCCGTAAACTTCTGCCGAAAGTATACAAAGCTTATAAGTGCATGTCTCTACAGGAGGCATCTGCAGCGATCGAAGGAAGTCATCAGAATGCCCCTATCAACAAATACGATGAGTTTTCTGTGTCCCGAAGAGAAAACGATTTTTAAGAGGCCCTTCTTTGAATGGATGAAAAGGGATGGGTGTGGCGCGGGCGCAGAGGTTCCAAAGCTGGACGGCAGAATATTCCTCGGTGTTGGTCGGAGGTTCACGTTGTGGAAACGTGCAGTAGACTACCTGGTGTTTTATAGTTGTTTAGTCATGATGTAACACTTCTGAATTAGACCAGATACGGTCTGGTGTGAATGCTGCGCATGTGGCGTTACTTTTAACGCTTGATCCCGTTTAGCAGCAGTTTTTTGTGGGTTAGGAAGCTATCAGAGGCTGTAAAGCGACGTTGTGCACCTCTCCAGTGGTATGTGTGAAGAAGGTCCTGCTAACAGGGACTTTACGAGTCTGTGGGAGATTTAGGAACAGCTCAGCAGCTCGGTTTGAGGTGGGGAGGGGGGGGGGAAGGGAAGCATTTCGCTGTCGCTGTTTCCCGTCGTCGTGCACCCCTCGACCACCGGTCACCGATTATGAACGCGGCTTGTATAACCACCCTTGATGGGCTATTGTGTAAAGTCCACCGAATGCAGCGGCAGTGTTGCGCGCAGTCACTACCCCTGCAGGCGAGAAAGCGGTGAAGGGCCGTGGGTTGGAACGTAGCCAGGAAAGCCTTCTCGACCTGTTGTTGTGGACCTAAAATAGCAATTGGTGCAAAAGGCCGCCCCTTCAGCCCGCGCCCTCACACACGCCCTCTTGTTTGCAGGAGTGATTAAGCACCCAGTAGCCAGGTAGCCAGTGGACCTGCCCCTAATCAGATCTTATCAGTTGCAAACAGTGCTTATCATCCACGGATAATTATTCTATCTCACACCCTACATCATATCTTGGAATAATGTCCAACTGTCGCTGTGCCCCACGAATGAACTTGGTCACCATCCCCTTCTGACACCTTTTATCAGTTCTTATCAGCTTAGTATCACTTCCAATCACCCACCAATGATGTTCCCGTTCACTGTCCCTGTATCGCTTCTTGGAACCAATGCCTCACTGCAACTGGGGGGAGGGGCGCTATGGAGTTCGTGAAGAGGAACGACTGACACAGCCCAACATACCCACACACGGAGTCAGTCAGATTCATTAACAGTATATAAGATTTTTCTTTTCTTTTCCAGAACGAAAACACCGAAGCCACCGAGGGATCAAAAATATCCCAAGTAGCACCTCCATCTGCGGTAAGATTTTTAATTTTCGTTTAGCGGCAAGATAGTGTTTATTCTTATGCCACATCACTCCCATATCAATAGAGGGCTGCCTGAGGGGGGTGGCTGCGGTGGGTCAGGTGTTCGCGCGATAGCGAATTGAGAGGGATGTAACTGACTCCCAACAAAAACATCGCCAGCAGAATCGGTAGCCACCGCCATGTTCAAACGAGGTACGCAACCATGCCCTCCCTATCTTCGAGATATAGAACGTTGTAAGTACCGTATACTTTAGGAACGGAAATGTCAGACCACGAAACGCGATCAAAAGCCGGAAGTCCTAGTCGACGGTTTATTGTATGCAAAGAGATGGGGGGCAGAGGCGTCCTTCCAGAAACAGGCAAAAACCCCTAGAAGAAAGACACGAGAGGCCTCTCGAAAAGTTAGGCGAATACCGCTTCGAAAGATGAAGCCAAACCCACGCCGGGTGCAAGGACCAAAACAAGATAAAATGACGTCATTCACAGCCAGCATCGTTATTCCATCGGCCTTGTTCCATAATGCTACGCGAAGATTTAGTAGTCAATGGCGCGATCGGGGATATTAGCGAAGAACACAATTCTGGATTGAATTTACCTACTTAACTTCCTAATTAAATTTTACTGCCTTTACTATTTTATGTATGAGCTAATCGTCGTCATTTCGTTGAAAGCTACTAAGTACTAATTCTGCTGGTTTGTGGTCTGGAATAAATTTTTTTATATGTGTGTTTTGCATGCATAAATGTATGTCTCTTTGGAAGAATACTTCGAGTGAAATGAGGCAAAAAGCAGAAGACATCAGCGTGTTGACAGTCACAAAAGCGGAACTCCACTGGTGTAGGGCTGGGTTTGGCGCGGCAGTAGGTCCTACTCCACCAATCATCGAGGCTAGCAGGCGACTACAATTTGTTGGAACTGCCTGGCCCCACGCTGGACCCAGCCTCCCACCCCCTCCCCTGCCCTTGAAACGCCACAACGTCCGCAGCGAACATGACCGTAGTTACCTATGGACTGTTCCCTGGTAAGAAGTAAGAAGGAACTTATGATTGGAGCGGGGGAAGGTGACATGCTATTTCATGGCTCTTCTTAAAACCATGATTAGATCCCATCTAGCAGTCATGTGCACAGCACCGCCTTTCTGCCCCCTGTCACGAAGTGGGGAATGTTAGAGTTATTCTGAGACAATCCGCACGTTTTTTCAAGTCCTTTCACAGGGGAAAAAAGGTCAAGGCATATCGGTGTACGCTGAATTTTGATCATTTCAATAATCAATTGTTAATGATTGGTCGCTTGGTAGAAGTGCTCCTTCTGCTTCCTGTTGTTCTTTGCTTTGATTGTTACAGGTTAGAATTTTCTGCTACTGCAATGAGTTGATTAATTAATTTTCATCAGTTTATGTCGAGTTTTTGGCACACTTCGGCTTGATGGGGGCGCCAAATGGTGGTGAGCAAAGCTTGCTCCGGCCAGGTTGTGAAAACTGGTACATTTCTATAACTATGTGGCTCTTTTGCACCATTATGCAGCTTCACAGGAGTTTACAGGTTACTTAAACGAACTAGCAGAAATTAGCGAAATTAGCAAAAATGCCGATCTCCTTCCCCCCCCCCCCCACTTCCTCCTTTCCTTTTTCTGGCCAACAGCGCTGATATTTTTTGTGCGAACCCGCGAGAAAAGCTGAGCAGGTGCTAATGTTCGAGTTTAGAGACTCGCAATAAATTTACATGTCCACATGGCGCGGATTATTTTAACTTGACAATATTAATGATTACTAGTACGAAATCTACCTGAAGACACCTTCCATAAGTGTCCAGGTTCTCTCGATGAATCTTGGCATACTTTGAAGTTACTCTATAGGGTATTGCTGTAGCCGTGACCAAGATGATATAACAGTTTATTGGCTAACGTTTCGGCCTTATCGCCTTCGTCAGAGCCTGGAAAAAGTCAAAAATCAAAGTGAAACTACCCTCGGAAATCATTTCAAACCTCAGATAAGCTAGTCCCAGACCAGAAGGATCCAGAAACCTGTCATAGGTCACAACACAAAACGACTCACCTTAAATGTACGGCCGGTTTTTGCTTGAGACCACCGCTAAACTGACTCCCCATGGGTGGCTTCAGCTGACCTGGCCCCTCGACTCGAAGCCGATGGCAATTGAAGCCCACACAGGTCAGCAAACGGGGCGAGCTCGTTTGTGATGGCCAGGCATTCGTCCTTTCTGTTCATTTTGGGATTTTTAGCGCCAATCCAAAACGACTAAAGTTTTGCTGCGACCACGAAGTCTGTTGGTTTCCTCGCCATTAACATCGCATAAGCGACACCTCAACTCCGCTCCATGGCCACTGAACCCGATGACGATCCGGGGGGGGTCTCTGGCCTAGATCGCCTTAGACCATCTAGGTGCTCCTTTACCCTGGAGCACAGGGGTCGTCCAGTCTCCCCGATGTACTCATCCCCACAACTCGGTGAGGTGTCGGTTAGGATTTTAATGCGAGAACCACAGACTTCGGCGCGCAAAACTTTAGAAGCGTTTTGGATTGGCGCTAAAATCCCAAAATGAACAGAAAGGACGAATGCCTGGCCATCACAAACGAGCTCGCCCCGTTTGCTGACCTGTGTGGGCTTCATTATTGCCATCGGCCTCGAGTCGAGGGGCAGGTCAGCTGAAGCACCCATGGGGAGGTCAGTTTAGCGGTGGTCTCAAGCAAAATCGGCCGTACATTCAAGGTGAGTCGTTTTGGTGGTTGTGACCTATGACAGGTTTCTGGATCCTTCTGGTCTGGGACTAGCTTATCTGAGGTTTGAAATGATTTCCGAGGGTAGTTTCACTTTGACTTTTGACTTTTTTCCAGGCTCTGACGAGGCGATAAGGCCGAAACGTTAGCCAATAAAAGTGTTATACGGCTACAGCAATACGCTATAGAGTATCCGAAGACACTTGCAGAAGGTGTTCCTGTCCGTGATCGTCAAGGTCGTACCACATTGGTACGTCCTGGAGGTAGGGGCTGAGCGCATTATTTTCCCGCCGTGGTGACTCCTCACTGACCCACCAACGGCGAATTCGCTGATGTCTTTCGCCGCGTCGTTCTCATTCTCTCATGAATCAGCTTTTACTCCTCGCTTCTTTCGTTTGCTCGATGGTTAAAATTAATTGCAAAAAGAAGGGCCCGGTGTTTTGACGGTTTTCTCGCTTGGAGTGGACTCAGTGGAGCTCGTACGGGCTCCCTTTGGCTTACTTGTACTATTCCGCAACATCACGGAGTTGACACGTTTCATCGAAGGTATGCTTGTTAGTTAACATAAGCTAGCAAAATAAGCAAGCGAAATTGCAAAATGCATCTCCTCAAAGCCGAACAGCGCCTGGTTTTGTGAGAACATTTCAATGGGAAGCCACCTATTTCCTGGAAATTTTGCAGTTGAACCCAACTGCTCCCGGCTTGCGATGCCAGAGGTGTATCTATTGCCACAAGGGGGTGAGTAGGTCGTTATCATAATTTTATTCAAAAGGAAATCCCACTTTCAGTGCGACACTCGAAGGCAACCATGAAAAGTGGACACAGAAAAAACAGCTTCAGTTCCAGGAGTGTCCAGATGGATGTGGCTTCAAGGTGAGACGTTTGACACGGTTTCAGCCTAGTGTCCAGCTTGCAAGAATGTCTAGAAGTCTCCCAGAAGAAATACTGTGTTAGGTTTCTTTACATTAGCCAGTGCACAGTGCACTCCATACCAAGGCCTGGTCCAGGAGAGGGCTTGTCGCAGGAACCTGGGCTGCAAAGGCTAGACTGCGTTGTATGGGCAACCTGCCTCCTCACGGGATTAGTTTTGCGAAGTTCTTCAGCTGTTTCTGTGCCGTTTGCAACGTTTTACCTTACGCGATGCTTCCGCTGGGTTGACTGGGTACATGTGGGGTGTGTCGTTACGTCCACGTTCGGTAATGCGCACAACCCCGCCGTCTAATTCCTAGCTAGTTGTGTGCATCCCTGTCCCGGAGATCGAGAGAGCTAGGGCTTTGAACTTAATTCGAACATTGCGTAAAATGCGTTTTTCGTTAGACATTTCCATTTGAAACAAGTGTCATCCTGGCTTGCGCTGGAAATTGTTCATGAGGAGTGCAGTCGTTATCACACTGAAACGAATTACGCAGCCACGCCTTCTCCACATTCGGGATAAGGAGTGTATTGTAGCACTTCCACTTAAGATCAATAGGAGACAAACTGTTCAATCACCCTAGGGCGGTCCTTACCATAAGTGAGGTGAATAGAACCAGCTTGTCACTTTCACCACACCACAAAGTGCAGGGAACATGGCTGGAGATTAATATTCCGGCTGCTGTTCTCTCAACGTAGTACGTACTTAGTGGGCAATACATATGATGACTGGCTTGGTTAGTTCTAGGACAGCAACGCGCCACTTTCCTTTCAGGAGATGGTGCAGTCTGGTGGATATACTGTGCTGGAATTAGGGTGCTATCAACGTTCTCAGGACATAACGCCTTTGGATGTAAGGTTAGTTGTCGGACTTCAATTTGCTGCTCTTTAGAGATAATGAAACTCTGATGACTGTAAGAGTGGCCTAGCTTGCAACTCCACGCGGAGGTCACTACATGAGTGAACCAGCGCTTCACTGGTCTCATCTTCTGCGGGGTGTCGCCTTTCTCTAACCGCTGGAAGGATCTCACTAATTCTATCACTATCGCTCAAGAGAACACTCCGAATGAGTGTGTCCCTCTCACGTAAATTGTGGATTGTACTTATGTTTATTTCAAAGTTTTATTAGGCTACAAGGAGAGATCTTGGTGTGAACTTGGCTTTAATCTCTTCAGCCTTTCACATGAAAGGTGATCGTTGCCAACGGATCCGCGTAGTGTGTGAATGAACCCCCAAGTTGTTCATAAAAAACGGTGCACACATAAACATCCTGCGTGAAAATTAACCAATGGATTTGAAAGCTGGTTTAAAAGCGCAAACAAAATGGACTGGCATAGTTTTGCTAGGTGGGGGGCATTTTAGCTGCTCTAG